GAGAGAGAGAGAGAGAGAGAGAGAGAGAGAGAGAGAGAGAGAGAGAGAGAGAGAGAGAGAGGGTCGTGACTAGGGTTGAGGGTTGAGTGAAGACCCTTGGGATGCTTTTTTGTTCAGCTGAGGGTGGGTGCGCGACTTTGTGACTCTAATTGCTTTTCGGTTTTCTCGGGATCACAACTGGCTTTGCAGTGAATCGTATCGGGGTTAAAATAAATAAATCTTTGTTGATTATCGCATGGGTGTTCTACAAAGCGGGCCTTTAAAGAAAAAGAACAACTTGAAAGATAATCTACGAACCTCTGGTTCGTGCTGGGGTACGAGGATTCTCAGGCCTGGAAAGGTAAAGCTAATTAGCGGGTGTTTGCTAAGATGGACAGAAGGGGCCAAAGGGGCATTTAGAGTGTGTTTCTAGGTCGGGCTCAGTGGGATTGGGGCTCACTTTGATCCGCTTGTCCCTTCTCACCGGTTGGTCCTAGTCGCTTTTATGTCCCCACATTCCCTTTTAACCTAGCTCACGTTCGTTTCGTTTAGGGTTTGTAATCGGGAAACTGCGGACTCTAGGGACACGTGGCATGAGCTTGGCGAGGGCCAGTGTTGGGCTGAAGGGGCCCACTCCAGCGATTCCTTAGCATCTCTGAGTTGATACTTTGTAGCTGCCACTGGTGCATGGCAGTGAGAGACTCTCGGTCGTAAAGCCGTCATCTGATCCCGTTGTGGCTGTGGTGATCCTAATGCGGGGTTGTTAGAGATTGCACCAGCTGATAGATTCCTTAAAGCACCAGTACATGCCAGCAATTGGCTGCGGGAGCCCCTTTCGGAGGCCGCCTGCCGCTGATTCATTTTATCTACGTCGTCGCTAGGGCTCCTAAATTTTAGGAGAGGCTCAAAACAGGTTCTCCAGTGCCTGCGGCCAAATACTTCACTGGTGGTTTAAGATGTCTGTGTTAAGGTTTTGTAGCTATTAATGGTGCATGACCAGGGTGAGACTCGGTCAGAAAGCCAGCATTGCCAGTCCGGTGTGTCTTGCGGTGGTCTTGTAAGTGCCGGAGTGGTGTGATGGAAACCCTGGCGAGATTGGTCTATGTTCTTTCTTCCATACGTTGATAGGGAGTTGATCACATGCGCTTGTGTATGCATGTGCATGCAGTTTTATGCATGCTCATTTGGCTTTGTGTGCTTTTACGTGTTATCATGGTTTTGATTGTCTTGGCAGTCATAACCCATAATTTGATGTGAGTTTCTAGCTTCTGGTGTGTGTGTGTGTGTGCGTGTTGTGGTGTTTGTGTGTTTGTGTGTGTGTGTGTGTGTGTGTGTGTGTGTGTGTGTGTGTGTGTGTGTGTAATTAGCAGACTCGATCAATGCTGGGGGCTCCCAGGATTATGATGATGACAGAAAAGGAGGGTTGGAAACCAACCCCTAGAGTTAAGAATTATTGCCCTCCCCCTTAATCTCGACGCCTACCTTGAGGAGACGATGGGTGCCTCTGTTCTGGTTTGGTTCCAGGGCCGAAAACATTTTAGGTTTGATATGGTTAATGGGGGGAAAATGGAAGCCAAATGATCTGTTAGAGAGGAGCATATAAATCAAACAAATATGATAACTGTCGCAAACCAACTGTGGACTGCAAAACAAATCGCACTGTGGTCAGCTGAATGAAAGTAAAGGAATGGAGCAGATCTGCTGAAATGGAATTTCTCAAAGTTCTTTTTTGAACTGCCTTAGGTAGTTTACTATTCAGCCTTCAATCCAGCGGGACTAAGCTCAGTTGGTAAGGCACGCAAGTGGCATTCAGGAGGTCTTGGGTTCAATCCCCATTGGCCTCTGTGGGGGATCCCTGAAGGCTATCAGGCCACCTCAAGGCTATCAGGCCACCCTGGGCTGAAAAGGCCACCGTTGTCAGATTAGACACAAGATTGAATTTACATGGGCTGGTTAGTCTGATGATAATACCTCAAGGCCATCGCCCTTCAAATAAAAAATAAAAAAGAAATTCAGCCTTCACGGTGGATGTCGAGCAGCAAGAGACAACTGGCTAACCTGCTCCCCCCTCTCCAATCTAGCAGGTATTGGATCGAAGGATGAACGTCCTGTCGAGCATGACTAAGCATGGTGCTCAGCATGTGCACAATTTAACCTCTGGCGTCAGATTCGTAGCACGCTCTGACCTTACCGACTTTCCTAGAAGGAAAGTTGGTGCAACTGACCGTGGTGCTCAGTGGGTGCACAATTTAACCTGAGGTAGGTAGACCTGCGGGAACCCTGGTGCATTCGTTTGGCAAGCCCAGTCCTGTGGATAAATAGAATTATTACAGCGACAGTGAAGTTCCCTGTTACGTACTTTCCTAGAAGGGAAGTCGGTGTAACTGACCATGGTGCTCAGTGGGTGCACAACCTGCGGGAACCCTGGTACACTCATTTGGCAAGCCCGGTCCTGTGGATAAATTGAATTACAGAGACCGTGAAAGTTCCCTGAAGAAGAAAGAATGTGCAGTGTGGTTCCGGCACTTGTCTGGTATGGCCCCAGTAGAACAGTCGGATGCAGAACCTTGGGCGTGCTTGATACTAGTGTTCTCGCTGCACTGGGTGGTGGCGTATGCTATCTTGGTGTGTTCTGCTTGATGGACGAGATTTTTTTTGTAATAGTTTCCACAATGCTAGTGTGGTGTAGGCTTGGTCACTCCCACCAATCATTAAGAGGCGCATGCCACCGACTTGCTTGCTTGGCCTCATCGTCAGTGAAGGCAAGAGACACGGTCCACTGATGCGACACGCATCAGACTGAATGTGCTCTGGATGAAGGCAATCCTACGACAATAGACCGATCGTAACCACCATGAGCACTGTGCTTAAGTAGTGGCAGTCAGGGGGGCAATGCTTGTTGGATTCTTGACCTGACTGTGATCTGTTGCACACCGCCTCCGGAAAACTAGGAGGAAAAGGGAAACTGGTAGTGACGTGGAGTGCTCTCGTTGCTTGCAGCTTTGTTGCAATATGCCACGCGTTACGTTCCAGTTACGGGGTCTTGATTGACGAGTGGCCAGGAATTTAACAGCAAAAGAAATGAAAGAAAAAAGGGAAGATGGGTACTGGCTGGGCAAGGTTCGGGGAAGATGATGGGCAGCAGCAGCAGCACAAAAGGAAGGAAAACAAAAGAATCAGAAAAATACTATGTATGTGTGAATTTGCAATGCAAATGACTTAGTATTTCATGTGAATTTGAGAGGGCGACGGCCTTGAGATATCATCGTCGAAACTGGCGACCCCGGGTAAATCGGAAGTTACTTCACTCGTCTGATTACATCTAGATTCAAGCTTAGGGGTACATCTAGATTCGAGCTTAGGGGTACATCTAGATTCGAGCTTACTCCAGGTTTATCAACAGGTCATGGGTTCTTACCTTTCAGCCAGAATTGCTGGGTACAAACATCTTTTGGCTTGAGGGTCATGTTCGATTTCCTTATCTCTGTCTCTCTCTATACGCCTAAAGACTAACCTGGTCCTCAGCTGCCGCTGCCCGCCGGGCCCAGCAAAAATCTTTGGCACGCAAGAGGTCCAGGGGGGTGCTGTCCTGTGGGAAACTGCGGCACTCCCATAGCAGTGGAGGCGGCACATGTTTGAATATAAGTACATAGCGGGGCTACGCAGGTGAACGTCCCATCTGTTCCATTTCCTCGTGTCTGCGTCATCTTGTTTTCGTTTTCTTTTTTGGTCGTTTTGTGCGCTGTTTGGTTGCTGGTGTGCGCGGACCTTCCACGTCGGAACAGGGCACATCGTATATAAGAGATTTGTGAGGGCTTGGACCACTGCACAAGGTTATACATGTATCTGTTGGGAAAGTTGGTCGGGACTCATTTGAAGTGCTGGAAACATTCACAGCGGCACAATATCCTGTGGATGTATCTGTAGCCAAGATTCGTCCGGATTCGTTCAAAAGGCTTGAAACATGCACAGCCCTGCGGTATCTTCTATGATTGTCAATTTAATGTAATGTGCATTTTTTAAATGTTTCTATCTCGAGTTTTAGGATGATCCCTTTACCCCGCTTAACGTCCTTGTGGGCACCATGCTGCATATATCATGTCCCCTTGGCTTGTGCCATCTCCCCTCGTTCTGTCTCCTCTTGGGCTTGGACACCTCCCCTCGGTGCCTCCTTTTGACCCCTTTCTCCCATCTGTTCTCCGCAGACCCTTGAGCAGTGTTAATCTGCTGGTACCTCTTGCCTTGCACTCTGTACCGACGTTGTGCTCCTCTCATGTTTCTGTGTTGTCCTCGACAATTCTCTGAGTCGCTATGCTTTGTGATGACCCCCATATCCTCTCGTGTGGCCTGTCTACGCTTACATGCATTGACACCCTTCAAATTCTTCCTCTCCACCTGTCGGAGCCCCTCTGTACCTCCCACTTTGAGCCCCTCTCAGTCCTTCCACCTTCCTTTTTGGTAATATCCGTCTGAACACCACTTTTGTGCAGGATATCCATTTTGGCACTCCCTAATGAAATGCGCCATATCCTCCCTCCTTGAAATGCTTCCTGTGCTGCACGGATATAATTGTTCTTTTTTGCTCGATTAGCCAATAATGCTGGTTGAGGTGTTATGCATTCTTTTTCTTAAACCCCCCACGTTATTGTAAGAGGCCGGATTCAGACTTGCAAGTTCTCCCGGGATCCAGTGATACGGTTCTTTGGATGGCTCGCTATAGTGTTCGTGAACTACCTTTATGGATTATCATGTGCTGCTTATTCTAATCTTATCGCAAGTCGTGTCCCTCAAGCGCCTACCGGTTGAGGAACGGGGCTCAGTTCCTTATCATTGCCAGTCCACCACGGGCCGTCCCTAGGGCCCACTCCAGGCAGATTTTGTCCCCTTAAACTCACATTACGGAATCCTAACCGATCCCCCATCTAAAAAAAAATTGAGTGTATATGTGGTCAATCCCCCATTCCATTACGATACTCAACACCCCCGTTCTGTCCCACCCTGTAAGAAGGAGACTGACTACTGCATCCCCAATAGATCCTATTGTTATCGGTATACTCTCTCCAAGTCCTCTGTACAATCCTAAGGTAACCGTAGAGCCCTTGGGCTAGTTTACCATTGTTTCCCATCTGGTGATGCCTCCCTGAGAGTCTACTGTTGAAGCACTGCCCCTTGGCCTCGGATGATCCATCCTTGAAGCACATCCCTTGGGAATCGTACGTAAGTGCCTCACCTCCTGTCCTACCCCCCACACACCCCTTGTAGGCCTCAGCCCACTCAAATTGTGTGCATACTAGAGAGGCTGTGTCTCCACTATATCAAGGTGAGTAGTTGGGTTGCAAGGTACACCTAAAATCCCAAGTACCGTAGCGTTCAGTTGCTTGGGAGGTTCTGCTGTCAGAGTACTTGAAACAGAAGCAAATCAGCAGATGAGGAGGAGAGATAGGTAGACTTTTTTGGAAGTCCTTTCGGAGGTCCTGTCGGGTGGAGGGCATGAACTGGGTGGGTGGTTTGATGGGAAAGAATCGTGGAAGTTGCACCGGCCCCCAACACCTTCCCACAACACTGGTAAAAGGACCGATCTCGGGATAGTATCAGGTCTCAATGACATGCTGTCTTGCCCATACCGTCCAGGCGTGAATGCAAATGGGTGGGAGTATATGCAGTTGTGCGGACAAAAGCATAGAGTTGTAAGGCAGATGTGAAGATAAGGTGAATTATGAACAGATTGGCGTGGGCGCAATGGCATGAACATGAGAGCACAACAGCACACAAATGGACAAGCCTGATGGTGGGATAGAGGGATGAACACAACACAGATGTAAGCATTGGGGCTAAGGAGGTCCAATGCAAATGCAGAGAGGCAAAGAGAAAGAAGAGGAAGGACAGGGCAGAGGGTGGGGAGCGTAAGCTTCGGTCGAGACTGCAACCGACCAACCAGCGAGGTTGATTTTGGCGTCTGGTTGTGCTTATGCCTCATGCTAGGGGTTGGGATCATGAATCCTGCCTGGCTGGAGCCAAAGCCGCTTTATCCGACTGGACCGCTTTCAGGTGCTGGGAAAAGGTGTGTTGATGAGGTTCGTGCTGCTTCGCTGAACTTTTCTTTTCCGTGGTAGGGTATCTTTGGGCCAGTAGTGTCACTGACCCATTGCAACATCTTATCCTTTACTACCGAAGTGCGGCAGTGGCAAACTTGAACACTCTCAATTGTGCCGTTGACGTGGTTCACCCTCCCCGGCAGGCGTTGATGATCTTAAGGATGCACCTTGTTTCCATGTTCATCCATATAGGCTCGATGCTAGAGATTGCAAACCTGTTTATCGGTACGAGCCTGATGCTAGAGATGGCACGCCTGGGCTTCCATTCTGTTCTAGGTAGAAAGAGGATGGATCTTGTTTCCATGTTCATCAATATAAGTTCGATGCTGGAGATTGCAAGCCTGTTTATCGGTATGAGCCTGATGCTAGAGATGGCACGCCTGGGCTTCCATTCTTTCTAGGTAGAAAGAAAGGAGAAAGCTGCATTGGTGACCTAGGGGCAAGCCAGCAAGCTTGTGACTGCTCGTTTGCACCAGGACCTTTTGGGATGTATCTGATGGCAGGCGCTTTTGTTTCAGTTGAGGAAGTCCTTGTATCAGTATGATCTCACCGACTGTCCTTCACCCAGTGGGAATGATTTTAAGCCACCAGTTCACACAAGCCCAAGTTGACGAAGCTACCTTCCAAGGCTCGGGAGCCTCTAGCTGTTTGTCTTCGTAGTGGCCTTCCCTGTTCGCTACCGGCCCAGTCCGTAGTGTAAGAGCCTTTTAAGTCATGTTTCTTGGGCTTTAGATTCTTTGGGAAGAGATCGTCCACGGATCAGGAATGCTAGAAACTGGTTTAGGCCATGGAGAATGGGAGTGCAGTGACTATTTGGTATTTGGGGTATGCTGCACTGTTCTCCTGTCTATGGGCCTTGTGCAATCACTGTAGAGTGTGCCCTTTTTGATTTGGCATGTTCTGGCTGTAAATGCGAATGCCATTTGAGTGGAACTGTTCAAACTGGTCTGATCTCCATCTCTCATCCAGTAGTCTTAACGAACTGGATGTGGCCATCGGTCTGCAACTTTTGACACAGGGTAGACATGGCCTGTGGGTGAAGGCGAAATCCAGAACCAGATGAGCGGCGGAAGGTATGGCCTTGTCCTAAGTGGTAGTGGATTTTCGCCTAGGGTTGTGGAATGAGGGAGACATAAGAGTTAGAGAGGGGGCGGGGGTGGGGAGTGGGGGCGCGGGGGGCATTGGAATGCCAACCATGAACACCTCTCAAGCATCTGAATGTCACAAAAGGGTTGATGAGAGTAGTGGGAATCACTCTCCTAACCCGTTTGATGAATTAATACTCTGCTTGGGACCTCTTATGGTTTGGGAAATGGGCTGCTTGAGATGGCGCCCATCATCAGTCCACAGGTTGAGCTTTTGAGCCCACTCTATTCTCATGTCTCTCCGCTATGTCATATACATGCGTTCTGCCATCACCAATGTCTGCCACCAATCGATGCAATGACTCTTCTGTGAATTGCGCAGGATGTGTAATCAGTTAAGTCCTCTGAACAATGCGCGGGCATTGCTAGGGAAATAAATTGGAGCAGAAGAAGCAGCAGCAACACTTATGGGTCCAGTTTCTCTTCAGGCTTTACATCGGTGTCACGGTTCTACATGGAGTCGACGGTTTGCAACAGCTGTCCAAGTGATTCGCCGAGTTGCAGTCTGGGGAAATGGGGATTTTGGGCGGCTTGGTCATGGGAATACTGACTCATGCATGATGCCAAAGTTTTGTGATGCAATGGAAGGGCTGCCAATCAGGCAGGTGGCTTGTGGCGGTGCTCACACTGCAGTTGTCGCAGAAGATGGCCGTCTCTTTACGATGGGACTAAATGATCATGGGCAACTTGGAATAGGCTCAGAACAGCCCTTCGTCACCTCCCCGGTTCAGGTCAGGGATCTTCCTCCGATTCGGTCTGTTTCTGCTGGGCACTATCACAATATTTGCCTTGCTGTGGACGGGGATGTATACGCATTTGGAAGAAATGAGCATGGCCAACTTGGCCTAGGATCTAAGGGGAGAAAGCATGGTGTCTCGAAGCCAGCTAAAATCCGTGCACTGGAAGGCACCTATGTTGCATCTGTGTCTTGTGGAAGTGAACATACTATAGCTGTGACTGAGACCGGGGAAGTACTGACGTGGGGATGCGGTGATAATGGACGGCTGGGCCATGGACCTGTCCCTCTCTATCTCCGCTTGAGACGTAATACGGGCGAGAGCACCCCTCGCCTGGTGCGAGCTCTTGAACCGGTAAGAATTCGGTCTGTGTCTGCCGGCTACCTGCACTCGGCTTGTGTGGATGAGAATGGCAGCTTGTTCATGTTTGGCCATGGAAGGTTCTATCAGCTTGGCCTCGGGAATGAGAAGGACACGCCTTTGCCAACTCGGGTTCAAAGCACACATGCGATTGCTAGTGTCGTTTGCGGGGGAATGCACTCGATAGCCATAACACAGTCGGGAGATCTGTATGTCTGTGGAGCTAATGAGCATGGCTGTCTTGGACTTGGTGCCCATCACCAGGACAGCTACAGAGGTGTCCCTGTTCGAGTGGAGGCCCTGAAGCACAGAACTATCACCCAGGCAGCATGTGGATGGAAACATAGTGCTGCTCTGACAGAGGCTGGGCGTTTATACACTTGGGGGTGGGGGGGTTCAACGGGGGCGTTTATGGAAGAACGGGAGTCTAGTGGAGGACAGCTAGGGCACAATAATGAGTTTGATTACCTTGAACCCATGCTAGTTGACCAAGGGGTATGTAAAGGGTGTGGGGGGCAGATAGAGGGAGAACGTTTAGAAGTCCTTGTACGTCAAGTATCCTGTGGGTTTAATCACACTGCAGCTGTAGTGGAGGAAAGGACGAACAGTGCCAATTAAGCTTGGTTTTCAAGGGCCCATTGTCAGTGCTCAACTCAGATGTCCAATGACAGTAGATGTATGTAGGTATAATACTATTTTGTGAAAGCTTGGTTTTCAAGTGGCCATTGTCAGTGCTCAACTGAGATGTCCAATGACAGTAGATGTATGTAGGTATAGTACTATTTTGTGAAAGCTAGTTCGGCTAATGTTGAAATTCACTAGCTGTTGCCCATGGGGTGCAACAAGATCAGTTAGTGCGACTACTGGTTTAAAGGGAAACTGACTTCATGAATAGCAGAATGACTGTTGTGTGCGTATTCGTGGTCACCGAAAGCCGCCCTGACCGCACGGAGGAAACAGGCAGATGACGTGTAGAAGTTGTACGAATTTATTTGCATTGTCATTGTTCTGATGCCCGCACTCTCTGAGTTTTGGTATGGCCTTCAGAAACAGAGGCTAACGATGCTGTCTGTAGAAGTGCTGAAACAGATCAATGAGCTACACGTCCATGTGGTCGACGTTTTAGAAAGAGGAGAATAGGAGGAACACACCGCTATACCACTGGCAGGAGGTTTGCTCAGACTTGAGGAAGAAGTGGCTTGAAGAGCTGCGACACTCTTGCATATCTGCAATCACTTCGCTTGCAAAAATCTCTCCCTCCCTTGCTTTCTATCTCTTTGTGGGTTTTGTAAATCGTCGACAAACTGTTATCCTGATACCACTGCAACCCAGGCAGGGCCTTGCCTTGGTAGTGATCTGCACAGCACACAGTCTGACACCTGCCTTGCTGTGTTACGTGTTCTGTCTGCTAGCGCTGTGTATATTCAAAATGGATGCCACTGCCTGCAGACTTGCATGCTTGACAGTGCTCACCAAAACTCCAATGAACGTGCGTTTTCCTTCGGGTTCGCTCTTTGGGGATCTTTTCTCGTCCCCCTTGAATTTGCCTGATCTTCCCAAATCTGAGAAACACCCTCACTGCATGAGTGCAAGGTCATGCGAGCATTAGCTTCTGGACTGTTGGTTCTCGGTGACCAGCTTGCCACAGCAGCGCAGGAATGAAAGCAGAAGCTTTGTCTTGTGGACTTGTTCTGTTGAGTGCTCAATATTATCAAATCTGCAGTTTTTGTGTACGCATCGAGAGAGGATGGAGTGTGAAGGAGGCAAGGATGACCGATGTCTTCTCAGTTCCCTCAGAGGGGTGATCTCCTGCTGCACAACCTATCCTGTCTGGATTTAGGTACCCTGTCGACTGCTAGAGAGGGTGACGTAGATGTTTTGTTGTACATGGGGCTTGTGCTTTTGGGTATGGCATGAATGCCGAAGGAAGCTTTAGTTGGGTTATGAAAGCTCTGCACACTAGTGCATGTGTCGTGCACAAGCATCTTGATTTCTGAATATGGTTGAAATGTGCTGTCGGCAACGAGCTTTGGCATTTTGAATAAGACTATGAGGGCATCGAGTTCGAGCGGAAATAAGAGGGGAAGATGGAATGGAACCTGATTTGGATTAGATTCTTGAAACTCTTGAACAGCTGAGGAAGAAAGGTATGTGCGAAATTGCTGGAGTAGTGGACTCGTAGAGCTAGGGCTCCTTGATTACCTTAACGCTCCAATAATGACGCAACGCATGCTGTTTGTTACAAGGAACTTTACCATTGAAGAATGTGAAAATCGTTTTGTGAAAATCGTTTGGCCTTAAGTGTCAATAGGTAAAAGAAAATCTCCAGTCCAAGGCAATTCTGAGACTGTGACAGGGAAGTCCATTAGCTCTGGTTAGACCGCAGCTGTGTCTCACACCTTCCTCATACCTATAGTGGTGGTGTTCATAGTGGGTTTAGGTGGTCTGGCCTGTCAGACTAACCTGTCTACAAGCCCCTGTGACAGTTGGGATTCGGATTAAGCAGAGGTTCAATGGTTTCAGTATAGACCTGTGCTGTTTTAATCTAGTTACGTCGTTGGTAAGGCGGATCCAGCTGAGTGTTCAAACCACAAGGCCAGGAAGTATCCGTGCCCTCCCACACTTGATCAGTATGGTCTCTATAGTTTGCGCAGTGATGGGCTGTTTTGTATTCTGGTTTAAGGTGGTGAGTGGAGTCGCAACAATGCCACCAACTCAGTGGCACTCTCCAACGCCCACACATTTCAAGCAATGAGCCTTGCTCACTGATTCCTGCATGTGGGTGTTACACTGCTATACCGGAGTGTTGACCCTTCCATTTCTGATAGAGCTATGCTGCCGATGTCAGGATTTTTTGTATTTGTAGATCAGCTGGGTAAAAGATATCAGGCAGTGGAAGGAGAACGTTGCCATGAGCTAGAGGGTGGGCCTTGGACAGTGCTGCTGCAGTCCGAACTGGACCGCAGCTTTAGTGCTCTGGTTTCGTCGGTCAATTTTGGACCAGCCTGTCCAGCCAAATCACTCGTCTCAAGTCACAATGCCTGAATTATTTTGCCAGCATCTGACATATGTGATGGTATTTGTTGTCAGATTAGACCACAAAGCCCCTTCGCTATAGGTAGTTTCTTAAGCTGACTCATCATAGAGGGTAGTTTCAGAAGCTGACTCATCATAGAGGGTAGTTTCAGAAGCTGACTCATCATGGAGGGTAGTTTCAGAAGCTGACTCATCATAGAGGGTAGTTTGGGCACAGGCTGCAATAAGAGTCAGTGCACGCATGTGGCTTTTTGTACTTTGCCCTTGTTTGGTATTCACCTTGTAACTCTGTCGTTGTGTTTGGTCTTAGAGTACTGGTGAGGGATTACGTTTATTTTCTAGAATTGCAGTCGATTTGCCACTGTGGTGGTATTCTCCTGGAGAGGGGTGGTTGTGTTTATTTTTTGCCTGGGCCTGGAGGTCAGCATCTATGGATAGCAGGGGAAAGGGTTGGCACAGAGAAGATGGTGAGGTATGGATGGAGTTTTGGGTTGGCTGTGCGGATTGGGGATTTTGTGACTCGCCAGCCGTCATTGAAGCAAGGCAGGACTCGAAAAAGGGAAAGTGGGGATGTGGCTGAATCATGTTTTCATGTATGATTCTCCAGTATGACTGACTGGCTTGTGGGGCGAGCGTGTGATGACAGACGTTCCCCACCACAAGGACGGCTTCACTTTCATCACCCTGCTGCTGAACATCGACTGTCGTTGAGAAGTCAGACTGTCAAAGGGAGGAAGCAGAAGGTGAGGAGCACGTAAAGCAGTTGAACGGACTAAACACTGGAGATAAAAGTAAGGCAAAGATGAATCGGAAGTCTTCTTTCCGTGAGGGCCGCATCTCCATGCCATTGCTGCTGCAGTACATGGCACTTGTGATCTTTATGTACATCATATTCACCATCTTTGTGCTTGGAAAGATGATCCTAGGCCGAGAACGGGGTAGTCTCTCTGAGACTGGCGATAGTATCTCGGAAGAAGACGATGCTCGTGACAGCATTCTCGGTGTGCGGATGCAGGGGAGGTCATCACGTATGCGTGAGCGATCCATGCTAGCTGCACATGTTTGGAACCCAGAGGCTGATCGTCTGCTTGGGCTCAGTGCTGTGCTCCATCCCCCATGGCATGCTGCCCCTCTGGATACAAGGAGCTGCATTTCCTGCGAGAGTAATGGGAGCAACAAGGGCAATAGAACAGGAAACATAGATGAAATGGTTCTTCGTGGGTCTCCGATGAATTCCAACACCAAAGCTGCAGGCGGTGAGGATCACCCCTCTGAAGCAAAGCTTCAGTCTGATGCCTTCATAGTTCAGCGTGGAGATGATTTTGTCTGTTTCTTGTTGTTGCAAGATGTATGCCATATTGACCTCACTCCTCTGTCGTATCCTGCGGATCAAGGCGGCGGACTTACAGGACTCGGACTGTCAGATCTTATTCCTGGGCTAGACGGCGATATAATAATTGTGGACAAGGATGAGGAGCAGCCGTGGCGACTTAGCCAACTGGAGGGTGGACTCTGGTTCTCTGCGGACCCATCATTCAATCTGTCCAAGATTGATGTCTCGCATGATGTTTGCGCCCTTCAGAAACTCACTCTTCCGGATCCCAGCAATGAACTTTATTCGAATGATGACAAAGCTGATCTGAGTGTGAATTCAAAGAAGTTTGGACGGTTTGTGGATTTAGATATGGCGATGCTAATGGAAGAGAAGCTTACGCAAATTGTTTCACATAGTTGGGGTCGGAGGGAGGTGTCAGATGGAGAAGGTGTGTGGTTGGATAGTGTTGATCACAGAGGGCCAAAGGAGGTGCACAAAGGGGCGCCCACAGCGCCGGTAAGAACTAAGGTGATTGATATCGGGGTCGTTTCCCCTCGTGATGCGCACCTTGGCCTTTTTGTGGAGTGTGTTGGAAGCATAGTAAGCACATGGCAGCAGCTCCTGAAGGGTCCGATTTCATCCATGGTACGGGCTTCTGTTTCTATCCACCCTACTCTGTTTTTTCCCCGGAACAAAGTTGTTGGCCAATGGTCGGCAGAAATCGCAAAAGTTCTTCTGGGAGAGAATGCACGAGTGTTGCCTGGAGCGAGCCCTGCACGCCAAGGTGCACGTGTCTGCTTCCGCAATGCTATCTTTCCTCTGAATACAATCCACATGCCAGTGGGGGAAGCTCTGTCAGCCAATCTTGCTGCTGTGGGTGGAAGCCCTGGGCGCAAATATCAGATTTCTGTCCTGTGGCGGGAGGTGACGGGAAGGGTGGGAAACTTAGATGCAGTTTCGGCTGTGCTTCGTCAAATCTTCCCAGGATGGAAGATCAGATTTGTCACTCTGGCGAAGGAGACGTTCGAAAACCAGGTTGACATCATGCGCACAACCGCTCTTTTCGTTGGGATGCACAGCCCATCGATGGCGAATATGATTTTCATGCCCCCAAAGGGAATTGTGGTCGAGTTGTTTCCCTACATGTATGCAGACGCTCGCTACAGGCGCATCGCTCTGCGGTATGGGCTCCACTACTTCAGCTGGACGAATCAGCATGAGGAAAGGAATGTGTATGCAGGGGGTTGTCTAAAGAAGGGCATGTATGCAAATCTATCTATCTCGGACTGTGAATTACATTCGGGTTGTCGCCGATGTGTCAGGGAACTGTCTGTCACATGGGTTGATCCACCAGAGCTGCATGAAATTCTCATGTCTGGAAAGGTTGTGGACTTGCTGAAGGAATGGGCTCCAGCTAAATCGTGAACCCTGATTGAATGAACATCAGCTGGCAGCTGGCCACTGAAGCGGTTGATCTCAGGACAACGGATGGGAAAACCTTGTCCATCGTGCTTTTGAGGATGTGCGGTCGACAGGCTTCCGGACACGTGGAGTCTCAAAGCTCTCTCTCAAGGGGCAGTCACTGCGCAGAGCTGTTGCTAATGGCATGGTGCGTGGCGACACTTCATTCCATGGTGTTGCTAATGTCGTCAGTCAATACGTAATTGACTTGTAGTGACGGATCTCTCAATGGGCGCGTTATGACAGCAGACATGAGCGTTAGTCATTCTGGAGATTCTCTGTTTTTACTGTCAATGGGTGTGATATGACAGCAGACATCTGGGGGTTTGACATTGTGGAGATTTGTTCTTACTTCAGCAGGTTGGTGTGTGTGGAAATGCAACAGTGGAGAGACAGTCCTTGCCAGCCAGACTAAAGTGTGCCACTGTCGACCTGGAGTGAACGGTATGCTGTCGAGGCTGAGACTTGTGTGAAGGCTTCCTGCTTGGCTGACAGTGATGACTGGTCGGTCGGCTCTGTGGGGTTGATGTTGAACTGTGATTGCCTGGCTACTGCCCTTATAGCCCTCGTACTGTGGCTGAGTGCTCTGCTTGTCACCCCTTCACACCGGCAGTTCATGGAAGGCCCTCGCAGCCATTTGCCGGAGGCTCTCTGTGCCTCGTGACGATCGTTTCCACAAGAGATTACAGGAGGCAAGTGTTGCGCACTTCTGGAGGCGCCTTGTTTCATCTCCAGGTTCCCCGTTTAGTTGATAGGCTAGCTGGGAAGGACTCATGACATATGGTTCCAAACTTCAGAAGAAAGGGTTACTCTTGGAGAAGAGTTTCTGTGGGTGTCTGGTTATGAGTGTAGTGTTGTGCATATGTGCCGCAAGGCTCAAAGAGAGTAACATCATTCTTACACAGGTTGCGAAGGGGTGATGGCCAATTTGTGTGTTCTAACTGGCCATGTTACATAACTTTTGCCATAGGGTTGGCGTTTGTCAACCAGAGGGGACTTGTATAGATCATTAGCCCAACAGCATAGACGTGATGGTATCTGTGTCTTTGTATTCTATCGCTCATCTTCTGTTAGTGTTTAGCTTATGTTTGCACATGGGATGGAGCGTAAAGTTTGGGTTGCCTTCTGAGGACATGTTCTGTAGGTGGATTTTGATTAGGCATTTGACTCTGATGATTTGAGCGGAGCTTGTGAGGCAGAGGTCGGGTTGGTTGTGACTGTGCTGTACCTCGCCGATGATTAATCCTCTGTATGAGCTCCTCGCTCGTGCTCAGAATGAAGCACAAAGTTTGGGTTACGATCCAGGGGTATGTTTAATATTCTTGCCCTGTAAAGCAGTGATGGTCTTCTTCTTCCTAAGTCGAGCCGTGATTACAGGTTGCATTTCGCACATGAAGAACATTTGACAGCAAAATGACCGGCAGGTCAATTTGGCTTTTGGGGGGCTCTGTGTACTGCAATGAGGCCCAAAGAGGGCAAGATGCCACAAGGCCAATTCTGACCTGCTCATGAACTTGCTGTGCATGTTTGCAGGGAAGGGGCCTGAGCTGTTAGGGAAGTGTGTAGTCCTACTGGGCAGTGAGGTTTGTCGGGAAGCAGGAGATTGTGGGGAGTGAAGGGACAGAACATTAAAACTAGGGGAGAAAAAGCCTTAGCATATGTCGAAGCAGATGCAAATAGCAGATGCAAATGGTTTACAGAAAAGGGGAAAAGATAGTAAAAGCAGTGCAAAGGAAAAGGATGTGACTAGTTTTTCTTTTCATTTTACAAGCGGCTTTGCTCGCAGGTGGCACAGCGGCGGGGTGCTCTATCTCTCTCTGCGCAAAAGACAAGAAAACATAGCAGTGTACCTTTCCGTGTTCCAGCTGAAGATTCCATATCATTTTCTCCAGCCGCTGAGTAGTGGACCAATTGGATCGCTCCCTGCAAGCCGTTGAGAAAATGGCAGGAAAAAATGGAAAAAGAAAGCATTCCACAACACCGGAACTGTTTCTAGAACGTTGCGAAAGTCGTGCATTGAAAAAAAAACATTCCACAACTCCCCGCTCGCCGGCCTGTCTGCCAGCTGCTCCCTCCATCGTTGGCCTCCCTCATCCCCCTCTGCCATCCTCGTCCCTCCTTCGTCTCCACCATCGTCCTCTTCTGGTGTTATCCTTGTCCTTGTCATCATCATGTGTGTCCGTGGTGTCATGTTTGGTCTACACACCTCCTAAAACAAAGCATGACCGTGTTTGTGTTCGTTGTCCTCACCCCCTTCACCCTTCCCCATCCTACCACTCCCGCTGGTTATGTCGTCCCTCCTCCTCCAGTCCCTCCTCCCACTCCTTGCTGCGTCCTCTCCCCTCTCACTGCACTCTTTCTCCTTCTCCCGCTTCTCCTCCTTTTCGTTTTCGTCGTCCTCCCCCTCCTCATCCTTCCTCTTGCTCCCGCTCGCTATGCCACCCCTCCTCTGCCTCCTCACAAGCTCCTCGTCCTCCTTCTGCCTCTCTTCCTCTTCATGTTCGTTGTCCTCCCCTTCCTAGTCCGTCCGCATTGTCCTGCTCCTGGTTGCTATGTTGTCCCTCCTCCAGTTCCCCCTCCCACCTGTGCTGCATTCTCTCCCCCTCCCTCCTCATCGTGCTCGCCCTCCCCCACCCCCTACTCCTATTCATGTTCATCCTCCTCCTCCCCATCCTTCGCCATCCTCCTGCTCCCGCTAGTTATGACGTCCATGCTCACACAGTGCTCCTTCTCCTCCACGCCTCTCTCCTATTCGTGTTTGTTGTCCTCCCCCTCCTTGTCCTTCCCCATCCTTCTGCCCCCGCTCGTTATGTCGTCCCTCCTCCTCCTGTCCATCCTGCAACTCCTGCTGCTTCCTCTTTGTCTCCCTCCCCTCCTCCCGCCTCTCATCCTGGTCATGTTCTTCGTACTTGCCCTCCTGCCTACTCGGAAGTTGAATTCGAGCATCGGTCACATTGGCCCCCATCCGCGGCACTCCTATCGCCCCTTCCCCTGGACGCCGCCCGCACCGTTTTGTGCAGCCCGGTAATATTCCAGTCTTCCCCGGGCGCGGTGCAAGGCTATGCGGCGGCTCCCTGGGGAAAAAAAAAGTGGGCACACAATCCCCCCCCACCCCCCTTTTGCTGCATTACCAGCAAAATCCGTCGCCGGTGGAATCGGTACTCGAATGTTTGATACAGCCGCGTGTTCCCAAGCGCGGTATGGCCCTCCGGTACCGCCTCCCCCCTGAATTTTCTTGGGCCCTCAGCTAGGATTTGGGACAATGGCAAGCATATTTTCGGTTCCTTCAAAAGAGAATAGAACAACGAGAGCCTTCGATCACCTATCTGAAATTGAACAGATTCCCAAACCCTGTAAAGCATTCTGATAAAAAGTAACCTTGGGACATGGGAGCCTCTGTTCTAGTAGGTCTGACTAGCACATTTTCATGACCCGTGAGCAGCCAGCTGAAAGGAAGGAAAATCTGTGGAAATCGCATGCTTAGATCAGGGCGAGAGACAAAAGTATCTGTTCTGATAAGTTTAATATCTGATCCCCAAACAAACAAAAAAAAAGATCAGGGCGAGAGACAAAGTAGCCTGAACGCAATCTACCTAACCCTCTAAAGCATGCTGATAAAAGATCTGAACACATATTCCTGAGTGAACGAGCTTTGGCCTTCACACGGGGATGAAAGGGATCTTAAAGAAATATCAAATAAAACTGGAAGAGGTGAATGAAATTCAGTACACGCAGCTTGGTTTGATGCTTGTGCATGACTCAGAGTTGTCGCGCATGTTATTCTTTGTGCAAAATTCGGTGAGCTGCTGCTTAGCTAAATTTAAGATGTTTTTATATCGAGTTCCGCGAAATCGAAATTTAATTCTTAGGGTCACTTTTATGGTTCTCAAACAGGCAGTGTCCGCTGAACACACTTCGCGCTGTTTGTCTCTCTTGGTTCCGCTGTCTCAGTCTCTTTCTCACTCTTTTCCTCGTCTGCTGCCCTCAACGCAGGGAGGGAGAGAGAATAACCTCCGGCTTATGGTATTCACAATCCATACATACATAGCCCCTTGCTTGTTGTTCTCATCACCCTTTCTGTCTATGGTTTACCAGGCAGTTGCATTCGACAATATATACCATGAAAGTCAAATTTCAGTTTCGTGCAATTAAGAAAAAAAAAAGTTACAAACTGGTGATCCGTGCTTTCTTGGGGAAAGTGAGGTTGAACCCAAAAAAACATGATTGGGTATAATGCTGAACATTGTGCTCAGTCTCACTAAACATCGCTTTGTCTCAGCATACCAAAGTCCGCTGCCTCTTATTCGGATGCGGGCTTGCTGGCCCAGGCTCCCACTTGTATGCGATCTAGGTGAGGAACTGGTCAGTTGTCACAACGTGTGTGACCCGTCTTGAGTATGCTAGGGCCTCATCACACTGTGTGATGCAATGTAATCAAAGTTCTTTGGCTGTTTTCTGGGTAGGCAAGGCAGTTGGATCTGTATGCTCCCATATTCGCCTTTCTGATGTTAGAGTTTCAATTCAGTTTTGTTTCTTCGGAAAACTGGAACAGAAAATGATTCATGTCAAGTCGTGTCTTATCCTCGTCTTGAGCATTGCGTCCTCCTCCGTGTATTCTATTCTGTAGAGTCGATACTGTGAACTGAAATGCGACTTCCTATAACTCACCTGTCGTCAGCGCACAATGTGCTTTAGAAGTGCTTGACCAGCAGAGGGCGCTATGCAATCAAGGCCATTCTGGTTGCTGAGCGGTATGCCTGCAAGGTTCTGCCGTCTGTGATGGCACCAGATCGGTTCGATTAAATCTGTCACTCATATTCGCAGGTATTGAGTTCAGGTAAGTCTATGTCTCTTCGATTCTCAACGACTTAGTGGCAGGTATCTTTTGTGACTAACATTTTATGGCTCACTTCTATTGCCAGAGGCATTTCTGTACATCAGAGTGGGAGCTGTCACTGCAGCTTTTCGGATTCGTATGCCAGCATTTGGCAGGCCCGGGGACTGCTTGGCTTGGAGATGTTCCCGTGCTCCACAGATCTGCAACATCAGTATGGAGCATCTGTCCGGTGGGTCATGGAACTGCTGATTAGGATTCCATGCTGGTTTCTCCACATACATCTCGCGGGAGTGCTTGGCCATTTTGGTTTTCTAACGTTTGTTTTGACGGTCTGGCCTGTTCGTTGTTAGACAGTCTTTGCGCTTTATCAGAGGCGTAAATACGTCAGTCAGTGATCCCCAGGCTCGTCTCAAAACTTGTCCAGCAGCGTTCCTGTAATGTATGGCACCCGATGCATGTATCTTTACCGGATGCCACTCGTTCCTTCCTCCGCGTCTGGAGATGACTTGTCATTGTCGAACTATTTTACACCTATTCCTCACCTCCCGCATCTAACCTACCTCCTATGAAACCATCCTAACTATTTTGCGTCCAGGGATATCCTTAAGTTCGCCATCAATCTTTCCTGATATGCCTGCAGTGGCGGCGTTGCTCGTTGTCTGGCGGGGTCATTTCGCAATGTCCATACTAGAGCCCACATCACCGCCGCTCGAATCATCTCTGCAGACAGCTGGTCTCCGAAGGCTGGCCTTTCGACCTTCATTAGCATTCCCAGCAGGATGACTGTGTCATCCACCTCAGTGACATCCAAGGGCGTCTTTTCTGTGACTTCCTGTCCAGCGTGTCCAAAAAGCCTGAAGTTCTGGGCATTGCACAAACAGGTGAGCAGTCGTCTCCA